AAAAGAAAAGAAAGGGGGGGGGGGGGGGAAATTAGATTTCCATGCTTTTGTTTTCTCGCAAAACTTTGTGATTTGGTTGCGACTCTACTACGTTCCCCCTAGAAATTTTGCATTTACAAAACGTTGCGTTAGTTTTGCACAAATGTTTTGCATAAAAACGCAATGTTTCTTAGAAGAACACAGTTTTGTGAGAGAATGCAAGGTTTTTTAGGAAATGCAGTATAGTTTTGCAAGAGAACAAACGTTTTGCACAAGAAAGCTTCTTTTGTAATTTATTTATCTATTTTTCATTTGACTTATTTTTATTTAGATTTTTATTTTTATTTATTTTTTATTAGTAGTAGTTTTGTTATAGTTATTATTATATTACAGTTTTTATTCTTGCAATTTCAACAAAATGTAATCTTCGAAAAAACATTTCTGTAATCTTAACATTTGTAAATAAGCAGACTTTGTGATGGACTGAACAACAATAACAATACTCAATTTGCCACAAAACAAAAATGTTATGTTTGCAAGATAAAAATCACGTACATAATTACAAAACGTTCACCTGAGAAACTTTTGTGATGGAAATAATATGAGATGGAAAAACGATATTTCAGTACTTTTGCGAGTGAATTTTCAGGGGACCACAATAGTTTGTGAGAGAATGCAAAAGTTTTGTGAGAGAATGCAAAAGCATTGAAATATGTCCCTTTAGGGGCACTGTAAAATATAGCTTTACCAGGATCAGTGATTTTTTTCATTTGTAAAATACAAAATAATATATAGTCGGAATGCATAAAATAATGCTGATAGTTTCTTTGCATATTAAGAAGTGAACAAGCAGTTTGTGGAAAAATAGGAGCAGAAAACCCTTGAGTTTTGGGTGTAAGTGATGATGGCCCTGGGACAGGGATCTTCAGCGTTTAGCCCCTGAGTGAGTGATTGATAGATAGACAGCTGCGCTCTGGGGTCCATCTAGTAACAGGTGCTTTAAATAGTCCTACAGACTCAGAGAGCCGGGACAGAGGGGGTTGCTGGAGGTCTTTTGGATAGTAAGAGAGAGAGAGTGAGTCATGGGATAGAGATGATGAGCACAAGATTCACAAAACTTATTGGATGAGTGTCCCCCTTTTCTTGGGGATGTTTTTTCTACTTCAGCAGTTCGGATTTTCACTGGCTCTGCCAAAAATGTGATTAATGGCTAATTTTAGCAACATCTATTTTTTTTAAAGGCTGTCAGTCAATTAATAATATTTTTGCTACATTGTATTTGCTGTAAAATAAATAATACATTATTTATTTGCGGGTCAATAAATTAAAGATACATTTAATTTATAATTTTATCTTTAGAATTGTTTTATTTATATTAGATATTATTTAAAATATAACAAAAATTGATTCTTCAACCTTGACATTTGTAAATAAACACACTTTGTGATTTAATATTTGTATTATTTTATATTTAGTTTGTTTATTATTATTTCATTTGTTGAACTTATTTTATATTTTAATTAAATTGAATTTTTATTATAGTATAATTATTGTTAGTGTTACTCATTCAGTGTTGCAATTTCAGCACAATGTTGTTTTCAACCTTGACATTTGAAAATAAACAGACTTGTGAGAGATTGAACAGCAATGACAATGTTAAATTTACCACGAAACTAAATGTTTATATTTGCAAATCACATGCACATGATCAGCGGATCTAAGATGTAGTGACAATTTAGCACTTAAGCTGTCTCTCTGTTTCTCTCTGAAGTGAATGTCCCTGTTGCCAAAGTGAAAGGAAGTCCCTATTGACGTGTTGTATCCCAGAGGATAAATTTAATTGGATTTAAATTGAAGTCATAGCATGTTTTCCTGAAGTGCTTTAGTGGCTTTATCAGCACAGTGACTTATCTCTGCCAAGTCATGCTCTGTTTCTCTGCATGTAACACTTTCCTGGCCCATTAACCAGAGCTTTCCTCTGCTGCTCTACACTGAGAAGTAGCAGTGGTTTTATCGATTCGCCCCTCTAGTTCACCTCTGACATTGTTTCTGGTGAACGTTGCGTGTTATATTTTTTGGTCGACTCCCAGAGTTTATCTCCGGACTCAGCTCTATGTAATCTTTGGCCACGAAAAGAAGGATTTCCATCCAGAGTATCCAAAAGTCAGGCTTTCTTTTTCTGAACAACAAGAAGCAGTCTTTCTTGCAAACATGGTCTCCCTCTTTCTCTCTCGTGTCCTCCAGCGTCTTTAATTGTTACCATGTGTCAAGGGCTAGTCAGTCCGCTGGAATGTTCAAGCACACACTCACTCCCTCCAGAGATTTGACATGCACCGCTGTGGTGCTTTCCTCAATTTGTCCCACTCGGTTTATTAATATCTCTGGTAATGAAAGCCTAAAATGTGGTGTTGCTTTATTGCAAACTGTTGCATATCGAGGCTGCAGATGGCCCAGGTGCATCCTGGGTAGGCGGATATCAGGTGTTTGTGAGGAACGGTTGTGCAACAGCTCTTAGTTCCTTTGTTTGAATGTGGGAAACTCAACATGTGGTGCAAAACAAGGCCGGTATTTATTTCTAATTGGTTGTATTTGGATTATTAATCACTCTAAATTACAAAAAGACACTTTGAGGTCATACGCAAACTATTAGAGAATTATTTTAAAGGTTTATAGCTTTGGGTGCTGCGATGATTGAATTCAGTTCAAGTTCATGACAGCAAAAGGACTCACAATATCAAAAGGGTTTATTCAGGATATCTTTTGACACCCACTGTGGAATCTTCTGTTACTGTATAAATCCAACCCCATCCTCAAACTCCAGGACCATGTGGGAGATCAGAAAATGATGGAAAGCAGACGAGGGAAAAAAG